ATAGGGCGCAATTGGTACCCATGGGAATTCCAATAGATTGTTGGAAGACCTGGTCTCTAAAAACCACATAGATATTGTCAATCTGAAACTCAAGCATCTTTTTAATGTCAACTTCAGAGTGCTTGTGTGTACAATCAGAATGTTTTTTAACAAAATAATTTTGCAAATGATCAATGACAAGGTAAGTAAATCTACGAGTTCCATTTTTATTGAAAAAGCAGCTGTCAATGATATCAAAAAGCCTGGGCTTTAATTTATCGTGGGGAATGGTAGTGTATAAAGTTGAAAAGTCGTAAGTTTTTAAGCTGTTGATTTTGGTAAAATCTTGTGATTTCAAATTTTCCAAAAGTTCCTTGGAATTTTTAAGTATCCACATCTGATTTACACCACTTCTCGAATATATTGTTGCACAGTACTCTTGAAGTTTCTCCTTCACTACTGTTAATATCTTAGTGAGGAGTAAAGAAAGAGGCTTGGTTGAACAATTACTGGAACCCGCTATGTATCTTTGTTTGTAAGGATTTTTATGAAGTTTTGGAATCCAATATAGATATGGTAATTTAAATTCATTTTGGTTGTTTGGAATACTAAAAATATTCAAAACTGACATATGATTTTGAAGAATTTCTTCCTTAGAAAGGGAACTATGAGTATAAGTTGGATCACCACTTGTAGAATTAAATCCAAGTTCCTCTAAAATACATTTAATATAATGAGCCTTACAAACAAAGACAATGTTTTTACCTGCTTTGTCAGCAGGGACCAGTACGTACTAATCATGTTATCTATCTAATTCTTTTTTCACTTGTGGATTATTGAATACAGAAGGATAGATGGTTCTCATATTGCCCCTCAATCTTTTAATGCTCGATTTTAACATACATCTGATATATTTAATCCATTCTGACAAAGTGTCAAGGTCTTCCTTTTCATGTCTGGCCCATCGCCTGGCGTAATCCTCTACAGAATCCATAATATTTATGAAATTCCGACGCCAGTTGAAGGATCGGGGTTCCCTATATTTAGGACCTTTTAAAATTAGTGATCTAAGGTCCTCATTATAAACTATATTTATGTCACCAGTAATAACTTGTCCAGCAGGACTATAGTTATAGAGTGAAGAAGAACATGAACACGATGGGGGATTATGTTTCAGATATTCGATATCCAGGCCCTGTAAAGTTTTCTTGTAATTAAAAAGTTTGGAAGCAATAGTCGATGTATATTTGTAGGAAATACACGGTGTAGTCTTTAACTTGAAATATGGTGGAATACAAGACTGGACTCTTTTGTGATTAAGAATATTACTTATATTAACCGCGTCAATTCCTTTGTTGGCATATTGACGTTTAAGGAAAAAAACGGATTGTTTTAGCTGCATTTTCTTCAGTAAAACGTGGGGGTTTAAAAAGCCTATGATTTGCAATATCCATAATCTCAGATCCGAGCCTATATTCTGGTGTCGAGGAATCAAAAAATGGACTTTCCTTGACCTTTTAAGAAGACTATTTAAAAGTTTCAAAGGGACAGAGTAAAGTTTGGTGCGAATATGATAAAGACCTAACTTTTGATTTACGTAAGGTAGTAATGAATCAAAAGAGACATCGTGTATTAAAAGGTTTTTTGTAAGACCGATGCACATGACTACGCTTACGTCTCTGTGTATGGTTAAAAAGTCCCATCACATTTACATTGTTACACAGTGGACTGGAAAGATTTCCAACACTATCGACATTGTCATTACATCCATAGGGAAAGGCTGTCCTAAGCTTTTTAATCCAAAATTCTTCTCGTTGTCTTGGGAAAGGTGTACCTAGTGATGGACTGTTTGTGTGGTGGTAAATCTTTTCTAGAATTCTAACTTTCATTGACAAAATAGAATGATCAGGTAAATTAAAATGCTTGTATAAAAGTTGCTGACCCCCATTACTAGTATTTATCTGAAATCTATGACCTGATATTCTTTTATTAAGTGATCCTTTGGTTTCACCAACATAAACAAGTCCACAAAGATTACATTCTATTCCGTAGACAACATTAGAAGATTTGCAGTTCAGATTTTCCCAAGTTTTGGTACAGAAGCTCTGTCCAGTAAGATTACTTGTGAAAGAAGTGTTAGTTATCAAAATGTCACAGGTTTTACAGTTTTTCGCAGAACATTTTGAAATAGAAGACATGGGATCGGAAAAGGAATCTTCAATTACATCTCTAATAGAAACCTTACATTCTTTCAATTTCTTGTATGAACTATTGGTTTTATACCAAAACTGGGAATCTGAAGACTGTACATATGACATACTAGCATGTTTAATATCCCTGAGGATTATCCGAGAGGCACCGAATGAACTCCTTGAGTCTGTGTCCCTTATAGACTCAAAAGACGCCTTTTTATACTGGGCGACGCGTCTGGCTGTATCATTTCGTTATTCTGTGCAATCATGAATGAATAGGTACCGAACGACAAGTATCCTCGGGGACAGACTGTCCACCAGCAGAGATACATGTTCGGTGGTTAAAATGAAATATATGGACATAACGAACAGTATTCAAGCTCAAAAGTCCATAAAACAATACAAAATAGGAGGTGGGATCAGGTGCCATGGAGGAGTGAGCATCCCCTTCCGACCGGTCACACCCGCCGTGTGCTCCTTGTCATGATCGGGAAATAACGGGAAAATCCGTCGACAATTCAGTGTGTAAATAATGGCCTAACAATTAGTATGAAAAATGTCAGTCAGCATTTCACTCAATGATAAATTGTATTTGCTGACAAGGTCATTATATCGACCATAGAACTTACGAAATGACGACTTAAACGAGACAGCCGATATTCTTGTTTCATCAACTTGTTTGTCAACAAATCTCATACTCTGGAATTTGATCCGCTGAATCTTGAATCTACTAACCCCTTTATAGTCAAGAATTACAATTTTAAAGTGCTTAAGAAGTAAAAGTGTTAAGAAATTTATATCTCTAAAATGTCACAAAATGTATTTCAAAGGTCTAAATCAGAAAATCTTTAAAATTTCCATTTTCTAAGCGACTGATTTATGCTTAACGTAGCTGCAGACCTGAAGATTAGACGGACGCCTTCATTTTTTCCAAATGAATTACATATTATCTGCAGTAATTTTACATATAGTTGTAGTGTTACGTTTCATATCCATTCTCTGCAGTCTATCGAAATTTTATGTAAGCCTGTAGTAATTCTTCAATCTTGATAGTGTTTAAAAACATCTGAGAGAATTGCCAAAGGTGCAGTTGCAATAATTTTTATGCCATCTTATTCCTGTGTAACATTTCTTATGGGAACTTATTTGCATTTATTTGACATGTTTGTATACTGGCCAAATTTCTTCCTATGGACGGGAGCGCCATGATGCTCATAACTCTCAAACGTTTGTCGAAGGCAACAGAAATCAAAACAGACAAACTAATTAAGTCCAGAGGCATATTTGTTTGTGTCCCCTCATTTATTTGCAAGTAAAGAGCAAGAGCCACTTAGGGTCTTTTTTGGCCCTAAGAAATTCTGAATAATCGAAACTGCTCAGTTTTGGTTGAAAATGCAGTATTTATTACTTGGATCCTTGGTGACAGTGTATCCATTGAAAATGACGTAATTATCTCTCTAGTGAATGCATTATGACGTCATAAAATGCGTCATTTTTCCCATATCCCGTAAATTCCCTTAAAAATGGCCAAACGTTGGGGTATTTTTTCAATATTTCATATAGAGCACAACCTCTGATCCAAAATATGCAATTGCATAATGAAAGATCTGTTTCTGAAGATCACAAAACATGTTTTAATTTTTGGATCGTGGGCTGTGCTCATATTTTAATTCTTTGCTGAAGGTAGTAAAATACGCATGTTTTCTGCAAAATTCAAGAACATTGTATTTTCTCAAAGCCTGTTTTCCAATACTTGGATTCTCAAAAAAAAAAAATTCTATTGTAGGAAATGAAAGCGCTAAGTCTCTTCTTTATCCCCCCAACCCCGGGGAAATTTCAGAGGTGGGATCAGGTGCCTAAAGGAGGAGTAATTTAAGCATCCTTAATGACTCGACATGGAGCCAAGACAGCCATGTCATTTGAATTGTTGGAATTTTTTTTATTACATTTCGAAGAGCAGAAAATCAAGGGCCTTTGAAAGTCTCTGCTTATATATGTCAACAAACTTGATATCTCTTTCAAATACTGCATGCAAAGTTAGTACTCACATCTTTCCATAATTATCTTTGCTAAGACACAATTTTGTTTCAAATTCATTTAAATGTTTTAAAAACATGGAAAGGTGGAAAATTTTAAATAAAAAAGATAAATATATACAAAATTTACAATATAGTTGATAAATGATCAATAAAAAGAGTCTGGTACATTTATAACTTTTAGAAATATAACATGTAATAAAAATACCTATGCATGCAACAATTAACAGAACATTATTTCTTATGAACACATTTTAAGCTGTAAAAAATACATTAAATACTAAGGTAAATGCTGAGATTTGAACAAACATGTTTTAGAACGATTGCAAAAATTGAACACAGAAAAAACTTTGAAAATATAAACTGGTATATACACAAAACAGAACACTGTACAGTTAACAATATATAGAAAGCTTATGTTATAAAGGCTAAGTAATCAAAAACTTTTTTTCATGTTCATCATGAATATCCATACAAATAAATGATTTATTATTTAAAACAAAGGACAAAAAAAAAAGAGAAAAAAAATCTCTAAAAGATGAAAATTTATACGCTCGTTTCTGTATAAATTTTGAATTGATACATGTAAGGCACACTGAACAATTTTTATAATCATTAAAATTATTAATTTTTATTCCAAAAAAGGTAACGTGCATGGTTAAACAGTGCTACAAATGTAAGATTCAATATTAAAATTTATATATATATATATATATATATATATATATATATATATATATATATATATATATATATATATATATATATATATATATATATATATATATCGCGAGGAAGATTTTTTTTTTGCATGAGACAATCTGTGGTCGGGGATAGACTAATATATATAGGTATATTTCAATTCCCGGAGACATATAACCGTGTAAAATTTCAAGTAAATATGTCAATTAATTTTAATTTTTGATTTACTGACTAGATATAATTTCGATATGATGATCATCGTTAAAATAAAGCAATATTTTAGTAAAACTTCATGCGTATTACACACTGTTTCAAATACATAAAAATGCATTCTGTCATTACAGCACGCTAAAATAACTCTATACTGATAAAATCTAGGCTGCATTTTTAAAATAAAAATGACTAGACATCTCTCTGACATAAACATGTACATGATAGCAATGAAAACAATGTACAAATTACGAACTTGTTTTACACAACCAAAGAAAGAAAAAAAATAAAGCTTTCATTACTTAGCATAAAATTGGTTTTATATCCAGACAGGATTGAACTAAATATTGTGCTGATTTAGCAGCATGTGGTTACGTATAGAATTAAATGTAAAAAAAAAAATACATACTACAATAATGATGGAATGAAATACACAACACATAAAGACAACATCAACATATAAGAAGAAGTTCAAGAACATCTGAAATTATATTAATGTTTAACAAAATTATCTACCAGTATATTAACTCCATAAGTTGTTTAACACCTATACATTTCATAGGATACTTCCTTGACACTGGGTCTCAACAAATGACATCGAGGCATATCAACCTAACTTCATTTTTCCAATAAATCACTTGTGACGTCAATATCCGATCCCAAATCTGTGTCTTCAATTGCGCTTTGAGGAATGAAGTAATGCTTTGAAGAAATATTTACAGATAAAAAGGCACTTTCGATATCCATGTCGTTTACTGTATGTGTATTGCCCGATGAGATTTGCTGAGTGGTCCTGCAGTCTCTCGATTTTTCTGTTTTCTTTATATTGTTTATCATACGACATGCGGCATTATATCTGAATTGTTTGTTAGAGTACAAATTGTAGCAGTGTGTTTTAATGCACTGAAATAAACTGAATTTGTGTTTTAGTTGTGAGACGATCATTTCATCGTCTTCTTCAAAGCTAACAAGATGACAAGATTTACGTGAACTTCCGGAGTCTGTCAAGCTTTTAATGAATTCGTTTCTAATCAAAACTATTGTATATGCGCATGCCCCACCCTCATACTCTGTCGACCAATTACTTGAAATTTCAGTCTTTTCTTTCAGAGGTTCATTAAATTTTGCTTTGAATATTTCATCCATTTGTTTGTTCACGATGAAGATGTAATGGTTGCTGTTGGACACCGTTTTCTCCAGCCAGTCGTGACGACTCCTCATATTTTCTTGAGAGGAGGATTCCGCAGTTACAACCTTAATTTTTCGACTATGAAGTAAACTTGTTAGCTGGGAAATGTCTCTGCTATATTGGTCCACAGTTATAATCATTGCTGTTGGTTCAGAAGATTCTGAAATTTTGTGAATGCAATATGAAAATGAATTAAAAAAGATCGATTACTGTCAAGAAATATAATGCATAAAAAGTTCTTAATATTTTCGTGTAAAACCTTTTTGACAAAATTTACAACGCACTTTGTCAATTATCCGCTTAAAGTCATATTATTATATGCACGTATGAATTATTGAGAAAGATGAACTAGTATAAACATTGTTCTTGAAAGAACAGACACCTCTGATTCTTCTGGATGAACTTTTCTGCTGTAGCTTAGTTCATTCAACTGCATAAAGATACTGTATATGCTTTACTATATAAAAAAAGGCAGGCCCGTAGGAAGGAATTTCAGTTTTGAGGGGGAGGGGGGGGGGCACAGCCATACATTTTCAGTTGAGGGGGCACTATCAACCAGAAATTCCTTGACAAGCAAAAAAAAAAAAAGGTCATCAGGGGCACAGGTATATAGTAGCTATATTTTCTATAGTAATCTATATATCGGCAAAATTATTGGGGGGGGGGGGCACGGCCCTCCGTGCCCCCCCCCCCCCCCCCGGTTCCTACTTCCATGAAAGGTGCTCATTTTCTTAATTTGCCTGTTTTGCTTTTTCATTTAGTTGTTTAAAGATAGTGATTTATTGATATTATTGAAATCATTCAAACACAGTTTACGCTATAGCACTTGTTCACACAGTACTTAGTAAAATCGTCACCACGAATAAAACGCTTACCAGAAATGTTTGTTCTCTCGTGTGGATACGGTTCTGTAATGGGAGAAAGTATATAAAAATTAAATTAATAATTCTTTAAGTAAGAAAAAAATTCGTACGTGTATCAGACTTCTGTCAAATATGAAGCATATAAATACATAATACATGTAGGTAAGAGGTAAATGCGCTTTGTGATTGATTAAAAAAATATTATAAAATTACAATTTTTATGTGTTTAAGCCATTGCTTAAATTTTCAGAAACTCATGGGTGAGCTATAAGTGTAATATAATAAAAAGGAATATCAAGTAATTTTTTTTTATAAAAAATAGTTAATTTTTGCGGATAGGGTGGTTTTGTCAAACATATGTTCAAGAAAATCAACCAAATATTATAATAACTAATCTGAATTGCTGCTATATTTTTTAATTTTTATCCAAGTCTTATAACGATACATGAATTGAAATCGCTTCATATTACAATGTTCTAATAAAACAGCTCTCAGTTAAAGTAAAACAAAAAAAAAAAAACTTATTCCCTCATTAAATAAGAATGGGGGGGGGGGGGAGAGAAAACAGTAAATGATATAATACCTGGAATTCTATGACGCTTTTTCCTGCTATGAACAAGACCAGCAATGGCTAACAGTAAAAGAACTATTCCAAATAGTAGAAGTGCTAGAACAATTATCAAGGTTTCATCCAAGGCATTGTCTTTTCTTTCCGAAAGAGCAGCTATTTTAAGAGTTGCTAAAGAAGAAAAATATTACTTTTTAACAAGGAAGAAAAAGGAAACTTAATTGTACGTTTAATTATAAAAGTATATGCATATATTTTACATTAATAAATGCTGAAAATACAGTACAGTAAATTTTGATTAAAGAAGTTTTTGTGCACTTTTTGCTTCTATTCTTGATATTTGATTGATAAATGAATTTCATTACATCAATATAAGAAGGTGTTAAACTTATATTAAACGTGATTGAATTTTAGTATCCTTATAACTTAGATTTTTTTTATAACGTATCTCCTTATAAGGAAGTTTTACTACAAGTTAAAGTAATGAAGGCGGAAAAAACTCTTAATTTGAGAAACGAAAATGTGTTTTGTGGGGGTGGGGGTGGGGAAGGAGTAGGTATGAAATAGTTTTAATTAATAACCAATCTTGTTGGAATTAAAGCATAACATATTATAACTGATCCCACCTCTGATGTTTTTTAGATATCCGTGTTTGCTCTGCTCCAAATCTGTATTGTTTTAATGGACTTTTGAGCTTGATTATTGTTCAGTTATCTTTATATTTCATCTAGCAGTATAATTGTTAGATTTACGCGTGTTGCGTAATGCAAAAAAAATGCGATTTTGCAAAAGCAGATTTTCAAACCTACTTCGAAAATGTGCTTTTATATTAGTTTCTGTTTGGTTCGATGTTAAGTTCTGCGTTTCGTAAGTAGTTTATTTATTACATGTACCTATCATTAGATATGCATTCACCTGAAGGAGCTGGTGTAGTCGTACTGTAGTCGAATGAATCACTAGAAATAATCCATGTGTACTTTGTACTCCAAAGGCCTGTCGCTAGATTAAAATTTTAACTAGAGTAAACGCAAAATAAGTAAAAATAATATATATATATATCTATATATATATATATATGACAGGCCTCCAAGTGACCTCTTAAATTTAGGCGCCAGCTGGCGCCTTATCAAAAAAATTTAGTCGCCAATACAAATTTTTAGTCGCCAGGCAATTTTTTTTTTGGCGCCAACTTCAAAAGTTAATAGTAAACAATATAGGGACCTATGGCGTGACTAAGAAAACACTCCATTGCTAAAATGAATTTCTTTTTCTCTTAAATTTATTTTAGCTTTTTCAGAAAAAATGTTAAAAATGTTAAAATTTCCAGAATTCGACAATCGTCAAGTCATTTTAAAATGGTCGCCAATTTGGCGACTTATGTAAAAATTTTTAGGCGCAAATCAAAATTTTAGGCGCCATGGCGACTAAATTGGTCGCCAATTAGAGCCCTGTGTGACCTCGTTTAAATCATTTTTATCCATAGAGAGTATTAATCAAAGTTTTATATTTCAGTGTTGAAGATTTCAGTTAGTTTGACTATAGAGGTACTCATGATTAGGTCAACGGGATCATATCGATTGTTCTGGGGAAAATTCTAGAAATCTATCTCTGTCAATGAATTGTTCTCTAACCAAATATATATATATATATATATATATATATTATATATATATATATATATATATATATATATATATATATATATATATATATATATATATATATATATATATATATATATATATATAACGTTGTTTATCATAGCTAACACTTCACTTCGATTTCAGTGCTGAAGACACCGACTTTGTTGAGAAAAAATGATCCAAATACAGTAGTTGTTTTTGTTTTTGTTTTTTTTTAAATTTATAATGACACAGAAATGTCAGATTTAATGCTCTTTGCATGCAAAAGAGTGGAGTTCATTTATAGATGCTTAACTGTCATATGATAGAAATTATAGATATAAAAAGTAATTATAAAATTGAGCTTGGTAATTAACATGAAAGCTTATTCATTTTGTACTTACATGCACTGTTATGTTCGAGATTCTCTTTTACAAAATGACATGGAGCAGCAGTGTACCGCTTGTTATTTTGTTTGAAGTAAAATATCTAAAATTAAATATGTTTAGTATCAAAAATACAAAAAAAAAGGAAAAAAAGAGAAGGAAACGGTCACATAGAATTTCATTTGCTTTAGTTGAACAGGTCGACCTGTTAAAACAAACACAAAACATGTAAATTCTAAGCAATTCCACTCACCCTGGAGAAATAGTTATTCGGGGTCGTATATTTCGTGATGCAATAACTCATCTAGAAAAGAAACCAAATACAGTTTAAGTTTTTTAAAATAATTTTTGCTACATAAATTCTCAATTAAAGTTACTTTTAAAAGGTTAAACTACGTTTTCTTAGTTGGAAAATGCATCGGAAATTTCGATATTAAGAGTTTAGGTTTTGAATGCTGCATGTGAACTGTATTTTCCGATCAATATTAAAATTTCTTTATAAGGCCATTTTCCGACCTACGATAAAATCACTTAAAAATGTGATTTTATGTAACTTTAATCATTGTATTTCATGATTTTGATGTTTGTTTTTCAACATCGATCACCTAAGTCGCGTGATTTAAAGATCACAAACGGCCGTCAAGTAAAGAAAAATTGAGGGTAGGTCTATTTACATCAAGTTTCTATGCATGTTTCTAGATGTAAATGATCAAAAATTGTTTATTTATGTCGGAAATATATCAGACTTAAGTAATAAGTGCAAAGATTGTTTAATTTAAGGCTAAAGATATTTTTTATGGCAAGAATTTTGATGCATTCACATTTTGCATATTTTGAATGGAACTCTTTACAAAATGCACCTCGTATGATGTTGAAAAATGTTTAATTAGCATTTAATTCAAAGTATTATTTCATATATGGTTATATTGTAATTGTGTATTGTTTCTATAGATGTGGTACCTATTTTACACATAAAATGCCCATGCAAGAAGTGAGATTTCTAAGTTTCTATTAAACTATAAAAGTTGTGTATCAAATGGTTAAAGCATTGAATGAATTTTGTTTGTGATTAAATCAAAATCAAGTTGTAATTTATAAAATATAGTCTAAATTTGCAAAAAAAAAAAAAAAAAAAAATAAAAAAATAAAGAAATAAAGAATTCATTAATTTACAGGATGAAAATATTAATGCAAGTACATGTTTATAGTCAGTACATAAAACTCAGAACGGTTGTGTTAAAATTATATATATCGACATAAAATGAAATAACATCGTAAGAGTTGCTTTGATGCAATTTAATTACGCATCTAAAACAATATATTTAATTTAAAATGCTATCTAAACTATAATACACAAATGTAGGTATAAAAGTTGAGCCCCCCCCCCCCCCCCCCCCCCCACGGCACTCCATAAAATGGAGTAGATTTTCAACAGTTCCTTCCACTACGCATATCAGAAGTTTTAGTATATCCATGGACTACCGTAACAGAGTTCTACAACATCCCAGGTACAAAATGGACCGTAAGAGATGACACTCCTTTCGCACTCTTGAAACCTGAGGATTAAATTCTCTTTCCGTGCTGCGTCAAGAACTAAGGTGTTTAACACGGGTAGTGACAGTTCCTTTGCTAAGTCCTCAGCATTGAAAGTAAAAGTCATGGGTCTTTTGGATATTATCTTAAAGAAGGAGGTCCTGTCCCAAGGTAGGTGTTGGTCAATACTGAAACCATGCATAAATCAAAATTGTGACACTTTACCTTAAGTGGATGATCTCTTTATCTGGGTAAAAAATTCTAAAATGACGTAAAGCAACATTCAATTATCAATCACGTGACATTTAGGAACCCCTTTCCTCCTTGGCGTTTTATTTTCTAAGACAGAACTACTGTTCTCATAACTTATATTGATGCTACCAAAGAAGTGTGATGAATAGATTGAGTCCTCTCAACACCCAGTTAACAAAATACATGGATCCTATGTCACTCATACGGAAAAGTGTCCTTCTAAAAGGTCGAGGCGAGAATTTCCATTATGAAACCATCCCATCAGTAATTCTCTATCTATAAAAGCTACATGTGTATCCATAGAAAAATTAAGTTTATAACACAAATAGCAAATGCATCTTCCCGCTACAACAAAAATAGCTTTTATCATTTCTAGAACTAATAACAAATATGCAGTACTCCTAAGGAAATACAAATACAAAGAAGTAGCATAGATAAACTAAACTATCCTTATAAATAATAATAATTATAATAAGTAACTTATATTCATGCCTTATAGTTTATAAAAAATTTCTTTATTTCTAGCAGATAGTTCAATGAGACTTGTCTTCACGTAATTTCATAACAACCAGTCATTTCAGTCCTTTGATTTTAGATTTTTTAAGTAAAAAGTTTACCTTTTTTGAGTAAACATGCATGGCTTATATTAATTCTTAGTAAATCAATAGAAACACGTACTCTAAGTGAAAGTTTATAATAAGAAATAATCTACATAAGCTGATATCCTTCATTGTGAGTAGTTAGCTTTTCCTGCAAATGTCGTAAAAATGAAGCGAAAAGTTTTTATTTACATGTCATAACCACCTTTAACCAAGTTGATAATTTGGTAGTCACTTTTTATGTTCATAAGAAGTTTACATGCAAATTTTGGTGTTGGTTAAAGGTGGTTATGACATGTGTAGGAGTTACCTAACACACCAACCCTCTTGAGTTTTCCCATTACCCTAATGCTAATACGGACCGATAGTACCTTACTTTGTGACCCTATATCATAACAAATACTTTTGTATCATTAACCAATCAACATTTATCATTAAATTGGAACATTAGCTTACTAATTCATGCAGTTTTTAAGGGAAAAAATACTATTTGAAAATTTGAAGTCATTGTAGGCCGCAAAACGGCCTTATAGAGAATGATCCTTTAAGTATGTTTGATAAGATCAATTTCAACAGGGATTTTGTCTGCATTATTTTAATAAGGCAAAAGTTAATTCTGCATTTACTGTAGCAATATATAATTGTATCATTACATAAAAATATCATTTCTATTAATTGTTTAATTGGTGCAGGTATTTTCTGTTGTTCAGATTACTTTACTGATTTTTTTTATCAATTAAGAAAAGTGCTTACCCCGTCTTTTTCTTCCCATTCCCCCTCAATCATTCCCTCGACACCAATGATACCACACTTATCGATCCTTGTGTTTGTTGGTTTCTTCCAATAATGCGTTACTGTTTTATTTGTTAAATCCACGGTGCAATTTTTTTCTAAAAGAGAAGCAACACCAACAAATTGAAAGTTGTGAAATTACTTGTGAAAATGATACAGTAAAACATGCTTATAGCGAACACTTATATAAATAATGAATTGACGTTTACAGTGAAGTGATTTACATTCGCCGTAACTCTAAAATATAAGGTAAACAACAGATACATAACAATTTAAATTGCGCTTATAAACAAACCAAAACCAACGTCCGTCCCCGGCACTTCGTTATTAGCGCGTTTTACTCCATCAGTTTTCCTAACCTTAACAAATTCATTTTAGATTATATATGCACTATTTGATTGTAAAAATTCAAAAACTCACCATTTTTTATTTTCTTCAGTTTGCTTCTCTTTAATCTGTGTGAAGACTTAACCTTTGACCAGACTTGTGCCTTCGATGAAAATGTTAGTAGTTGATTTTCTTTGAAATCAAGGAGTGTTTGTCGGAATCTCTTATTCTCTTGCTCACAATCATTTTTCTTCGCATGATTTAATTCGCCCGCAATTCCGACTGAAATAGGACTTTCTCTGGATATCGGCAAACAAGACAGAGACACTTTCATGTTTTCCCTTATCATTCCCTAAAAGTACCAAAATCATAATTCAAATGCATTATGTTACCAAGCACATTCTTTGAAATATATGTCTAAGTAATTTGTGTTTAATTAAACGAACTGATAAAAGCAATATTAGCTGCATTTTTGAAAATTTTATCTGGAGTAAAAGGTGTTATTGCGATAAATCTGCATATAACTTATACTTTCATGATTAATACGCAAGTTTCGAGATTATCTCCCTTGGTGCGCTCTTTCGTTACGGAGGGGAGTTTTGTTTCCGCATAAGCAGGCAGGTGGGACAGTTATAATTTATATTTGATACATTACATCATCTATATACTTGTCTATCATAGCTGATTGACGGGATGTACTTATTACAGAATTAAAGTAAAGGCGTCAATTTTTTTTTCTACGAAAAAAAAAAACCGGAACAAAAGAAAATAAAAATCGGAACAAATGAAAATATCTGGATAAAACATCAAACGAGGGAATAGATCTATATGGATCTCTAATAAATACACACGCACCTGATCATTGTACGTCGGCATTCAGAATGACTCGTTTCCTTATAATAACTTCAAAGAGCCACATAACCTTTTAGAAAGGGTTTGTACAATCAAAGAATTATTTTTTTAAATAAAAACTATGATAGTTCTTTCGTTTTTTAATACCCTAACTGAAAGTAAATTTTGTAAATATGTGTAGAAGAGCTTTACAAAATCATCAAAATGATAACTCCTTAGCACTATGATCTTTTTGTAACATCAAATGAATTTTAAAAGCCATGGTCATCGTTCTTTTATTTATGCAAGTTTGTATACATTTACAACCTGTCCCACTTCCATGCAGATATATATACTTTTCGCGCCTCTATCGTAGGAGAGTTACAATCTCGAAACTCGCGTATTGGGCGTTAAATTTTATCAGGAGAAAAAAAAAACCTTTACTAAGAAAATATAGTATTATATAAGAAAACGATTCTTGTAAAAGACGACAATAATATTTCGCTTCAATCGAAGCTACCATATGGGTTTTCCAATGCAATTACTGTGTGTACATAAATTGGCGTATTCAAAATTTAGCGCAATCACTGGTTATGGAGTTGTTGGCGAAACCATGAATTAGCGCTATACATGTCCGTGCCGTTTATTGTATTTATAAATGATTTCTTAGCGGTATTCTTGAATTAGCGCATCGTTGTCTGCGCCAAAGCCGCTAAAATATGAAGCCCGCTTTTTTAAGCACACATACAGTATGAATATTAGAAATTTATAAACTTGAAATTTACAACTCGTATTGCTCCAGGATTTTTTTACGAGGGGGAGGGGTGTTTACCCAGTCCAAAAAAAAATCCAACCCAGAAATTTCTTCACAAGCAAAACAAAAAAAGGTTATCTCGTAGTGGTGGTAGTGGGGTCCACGTTTTCTACGGAAGACCATCCAAAGCAATTTTCTATTTGCTTCAGTATATACTTTTGATAACTCTGCAAATTCCAGAGGGAGATGGGCGGACCAACCAGACAACCCCCAACCCCAACCCACCCCCTAGATCCGCGCATGTGTTCTTACTTAAAAAAGACTATTTCCAGAATACAGTAATGTTATTATTACAATTTTTACAATACTAACATGCAAATCAAACGCTCACCTCCCTCTTTTGTATGTGGATGAAATGCCTAATTGTGTTTTGTCCTTGTTGTTTAACTTCCATAAAAAGTGTCCTGTATTTGTGTCTTCTTCCGCCTTTAAAGGGATGATAATAAATATGATTTGATAACATTCATTTTCCCAACATAAATTTACATGCATTTCGATTGTTTCTATTATACCACAGACACTGACTTTAATGTATACTATACTTTCAATGAGAAAATAAAGCTAACACCACAACTAATTAATTAATTAATTATCTTTCAACAGTTAAATGTAAATGGGATCACAGGGGTTGGCAACTTGGCTTACCCAACAATTTTACTTAATTTTTCAGTAAATAAAAAAAATCGTAATACTTAATTGTATTATTATTATAGTATTACGTATTTTTTATTTACTGAAAATTTCGGTAAAATTAATAGGTATGCCAACTCCTGTGATGTGATAATAAGTCTATGTATTTTTCTTTGTGTATTCTGAAGATCTTACCTCTTGTCACATGTATTATAAATGTCCCATTTATGTACGATTCTTTAGAATTTTGACGTATGGGTCTGGTCATAGTATGTTGCGTTATTTTAACGCCATCGCTACATAGCCTTGGTTCAACGTCATCTGCATTTATCATATCTATATAAAAAGAGGATTTTTGTTTTTAAAACAGACATATTTATTTTAAAATTTAATGGCACTGAAAAATGTGATCTTTTCACAACAGTAATATTATCATTACCTTAGTTCATTTGTTTGAGTTTTAACAAAATACATGTTTACAATTCCATCAACAAGTATGTCTACCAAAAAAAAAAAAAAATGCAAGTATATTCACGAAAACGCTTTTGTATCACTTGGTATACGATGACGTAAAGGAAAGTTAACTATAACTAAAATACCTTTCATCTCCATGTTGCACTGTACATCAACAGGATTCTGAAATAAATAGAAGTCGTAACACAATAGTACACATGTAAACTCACGGTATGTAAAATCGCATAGATTTGTTCAAAACAAAGATCCTCAAGATTATATCATGTTTATCATTTCAGATATTCAGGACAAGAATTTTTAAAATTTTAGAGTACCTGTGTCGTTCCACATAATTTTGAATAGACCTTCTCTGAAATGTTTCCTATATAGTAAACCTTCGCTTCCAAACGGTTACTAATTATAGTATAAAGTAAATATCCTCCCATGGGACGATTCTTAATATAGTAAACATTCAAATGCAAACAAAAATAAACAAAGATAACCACTTTCTGAATATATACTACATATGATTATTAGAGACCAATAATTTATCAAAATATAATGAGCCCCTAACCAAATAAAAACAAATTAGTCATTTTAAAGGGTTTGCATTATTACCTCATTTCGAGTAAAATCCAAACAGATCATGGTTCAGTGGGAAGGTTTACTATGCAGAATTTTTATATAGTCTCCATGAGGGTAGGTTTACTACATAGCTAATTTTACCCCCAGATAATTATTATGGTGGAAAGTTTGCCATCCGACGCCGGCATCTAATATGATTCTTTGTAATGCATTATGTCAAAGTTAAAAAGATGATTGGTCGTTCTTATTTTGTAAGGAAAATAAACCTTCAATGACCCAGATATCAAATTGCCTCGCTGACAATATTGTTCGGTTCTGCATGCACAGGGAAGTTATTGATATTTACCTGTGCAACAAATAGGAGCAGGAAATTAATAATTTAAATTTCCTCGTTCAGATAAGGAACCTGTGTACAGTGACCAAATACTGTCATTTTTATTCTATCATAAAAGTAAAAGATACTCGGTTGAAATTTTACTTATATAAAAAATATTCCAATGTCAAAACTACAATGTTCACCTTTAGGTGCTTAGCTTAAAATTAAAAAAAAAATATTTCAAGTATCTTCTATAAAAGCCAAATAACAAGTTAAAATTCAGGAATTTGATTCTTGTTTGCGAAAACTATAGTAAATTCCTCATTGAAAAACATACACGTATGCTTTTGCAATTGGCTTTTACACTTTACAGGGATTGATTTATGCCTAATTGAATTCGAATATGAATTTATTTGATTAGTATATTCATTTTTTTTTTTTTTTTTTTTTGCTTCAAATGTTTTAATCTTAGTATTTTGAGTTTTCTGTTTTGTAGAATAAGAAAAAAATGACTACTTCGGGCCACCGTAAGAACACAAGCGACGCTATAATTTCGGGATATCCCAACCTGTAGTTTTCCTGCTTCATGTCAAAAACAATCTGCGTACAATTTCAGAATTTTTTTCTTTAAAGCCGATTTAATATGCATGTCACATATCATAAGTTCTGAGATTCAATTTTGCATACATGTATTTCTGTATTTAATATGATTTGCAATGCATATTAATTTTTCGGAAATCTTTGAGTTAAGTTTCAATTACTTCTCTTTTCACTGTAACAATAGCATACTCTTACTGCTTTAACTCTATTAAAACGTATTTTTGCAGAATGTTTTGCATCATATAAAAAAGGGAATTTGCAGATTATCAAATATAAATTTCCCTTACCTGTATCGAACACATGGGTTTTTCGCATGCTTCAGTTAACATCACAATAACAGATAAACAGACTAAAAATAACATGTCCTCGCTCTGTGCCTTCCAGATCAGGTATGATACCCGACAAAAATAAGATTTCCGCAAAGTTTGAAATATTTCCTCATTCATTTGCATATTCATAAAAAACCCGTTCACAGCGATTTTTGCAGAATATACAATTGATCAAAATGTAAACAATACACATTAGATTAATCTTACAACTTTGTTAAATTAATTCCTTCTAAAATATCATCATTTGAAAATATCCTGATAAATTTGTATTTGTAGTTTATCGATTTTTTTATCAAGAAAAATCAAATGAGCTTTATATGTATATAGCAGATAATCTTTATTCCAAAACCTGAAGCTTTTGATGCATGAATTGCTGAGCGTGTTAACTACTAAGTTACAGATTATATTTTGTTTGGGCATAAAAAGATTTTTAAAAAAGTAAAACTAACAGAATATTAAGTACCCTGTAAGGAAATGACCGGTTTGTAAAACAGAAATTTAGTGGGGTATTTCCGAAATGGCAAGGCGAGATTCCAACTTCCTTGTTAACTACCAAGCGTTCTGTCTTCAAAACCATTCTTCTAGATCTGATTTTGAAAAAACTCTAAAGGCATTTATTCATTTATTACACTTCTGCTAAATATGTCTTTTCCAGATAACGTATACGGCACGTGTTTTCCTTGCATAAAATGAAGGAAGATGAGCATTATCAAATATTGATTGGGACTCCAGTAAGATATACATAATATAAATACATGTACACTGTATGTTAGAATTAATTATTTGCATTGGTTGTCACACAAAATGATATATTCCTTTTCACTTTAAATATGTAACTGATCTTTTGAAAACAAATTTCCTTAAAAAAAACATTAAGTAAATAAAACTGAAAGCCCCCCCCCCCCCGAATTATACTTCTGAGTTAATAAAACTGTAATACTGAACAAAATACAATGTATTTAGTTGAATATATAATGTTATAGAGTTAAACAAAAAAGATTGTTATACATTTAAAAATTGATTCCTATATAAATCTATACTTTAAAAAGTCTAAAATTTCCAATGTTTTATTGAGCGGTCATTAAAAATAATCGATGTTTGACCACAGAATGAGATATATTGAACCGCTTATGTCACACTGTGGGCGGGATCAGCTAAATCTTATTTGCATTCCACTGGTGTTCGACAGACAGAATTTTCGGAACTTTGAAGCTTTTGCCACATTTGTGTTTCAGAGATAATGCTGCCTTCTTTGAATTTGCCCTGTTTTGAATTCACCCGCTTGTAACCAGGGCAGGATGTATGCGTGTATGTCAAAAAGAAATAAAAAATAAAAAATAAAAAAAAATAAATAAAAATAAATAAAAATAAAAAGAAAGGTATAACAAAACAAAAAAGTATTATTCACTAAGTTCTCGGGCAAAATGTATTTTGTTGACCCCTCACACTAAACTGCTTGGTTCTTGGGTTCGACAAAACGCATGTTGCCTCAAACCCAGTTAATAAATGTATAATATTCCCGAGAGTCCAACAAGCAAATGACTTAAGGTCAAGATCTAGTAAATGAAAGGTGCCTACAGATTTCTTAAACTTGAGAAATAAATTCCTTTAATAATGCTTTTTTATTTTAGCTTAGTCAAATAAGGTGTTTCGGGGCATAATTTGTAGGTAAACAAGACTAAAAATTGTATTTTAAACTGTTATTTTCAATGAGATATTGAGAAAATCATTTATGAATATGGGAGTTTTTTCCATATCAGACAAAGGAAATGTATCCAGATTGCCTACAGTCTGCCAGAAAACGGTAATGTATATGTTCTTAGCCTCTTCTTTAAAATAATGTTAAATTAAATATAGGTATCGGGATTACTTTTTACATGATTTCAAATTGAATTCCATGAAAATACTTTATTTTCTACACAATTCTATTGGAGACGTAAAGTACGGGAAAAAGAGAGTTTAAAATGATTATGACGTCATAATGGACCTAGCACCAAAAAGACAGTCTAAAGTCATTTACTAGATCTTGACCTTAATACCATGTTTCATATAATTTTGAGTGAAAGTTATTGGTATTTTCCTTTGATAAAATGTAGAGCTCAGGTATAACCTAAAATTATATGACAGTTTTGTTGTTAATCCAGCAAAATTTACACAGTTCCATTTTTGAATTGGATTAGAAATAAATGTTCAATAAGCCGTTGATACTTTTAGTTATGTGATAAAAAAATATTTAATTATTTTATGTATGCGTAAAATTAACCAAGCAGTGTCTTTATTTCGAAAAAGAACTTTTTGACCATATTTCCACCATAAAAAGCTTTATTGATGAGGTCATTTAACGGATCTGTTTTTTCATTTGAAAAGACACAGGCCTCTATTTTTTCTCTTTTTCAGTTTTGATATTGAGAAGACAGGTTTTTCGACAGTATATTACAAACGTATACAACAACCAAAAGTTTCTGAAGAGAATATAGCTCTACTGGTTTGTATTTATCATAAAGAAAAAAATCTAGGATATTGAAGTATAAGTGACTGAAAAATAAAATATGTACTGAACCATTTAATCTGAAACAACAAAAATTGACAGGTATTTGGTATAATATTGGTTCTATACAAAGACATTTTTAAACCTCGAGAGATCCGAACATAATATCACAATACAAGCAACGGTCTTGATGAACTAGCCAGATACAAGTGGTTGTAATTTGCTATTTTTAGAATTTAAAAATCTTTTTAGCATATCATCTCATATTCTTAATATTATCATATCATGATCAGTGGTACGATGAAATGGAAAGAGTCAATCAATATTTTCTAAATGCAAACAGAAAGAAGAACCTGTTTTATACACTAGATTTAAACGTTCATTGTTTTCGCAGGACCCTATAAATCAGCAAAAATACGTAAATTATTTTTTGGGGAATGTTTCATATAAAAAAAAATATATCTGGGTTGTGGGGGATTTTCGTTTATTTTGAATATATTGTTTTTGGTCTTGGAATTTCTCTGGTCATTGAATAAATTGATATTCAACTCCGGGATCGTTGTGCGCTTTTTGCCTGTGAGAGGTTTTTAGACACAGGGGAACAATTCTTACAATCCCCTGGTCTTGACCAGATTGACCCAAGTTAGCTGGATTATTAATATTCCTTCATTTCTCAAAATGACGTTCTAGTTTGAATCTACTCTTCCTAGGATATGTTCCCTTCCTGTCCATAGCGCATCACAGGTTATGGGGAGTGGTCCTAGCTGTTACCCAACCTGTATAAATGCAACCAGAAAGAGACAAAATCCAGCATACCACCCTTTATTAAATTAACACATACATTCTAATTATTTACAATTACTAAAGTTACACAATACACAATATAATAAACATTATAATAAATACGAAACATTTCTATCAGATTATAAAATATATTAACCCGTAAATACATTGAGGCATCTGAACATTTTAACCATCTTACAAAAATCGCGCAAGTCTATAACAAGAGGCCCATGGGCCACAACGCTCACCTGAGTCAATATGGCCCTGCTGTTCTTTGTCAGCAGATTTCTTCTTCTATATATTCATACGTAAAGCTTTGATCAACTGTTCTAGGCATAACCTATCCCCAGTTGCCATGTTTTGAATGAAATTGAATCTAAACTTTCTGAGGATGCTTCTATATTCATATAACTAATCATGGTTTTGCTGTTCTTGAAACGGAATTTTAAAGATGTCTGCCATCCTACCCTGGGGGGTAGGAAGGGAGGGGGGGGGTTCAAGATTTGAACAAACTTGAATATACACTACCTAAGGATGCTTCCATATCAATATGACTAATTGTGGCTTTGTTGTTCTTGAGAAGAAGATTTTTAAAGAATTTTCCTATATATTCCTATGTAAAACTTTGATCCCCCATTGTGGCCCCACCCTACTACTGGAGGATGCCTTGAACAAACTTGAATCTACAATACTTGGGGATGCTTCAATATCAAAATGACTAATCAAGGCTTTCCTGTTCTTGAAAAGATTTTAAAAGATTTTTCCTATTTATTCCTATGTAAAACTTTGATCCCCCATTGTGGTCCCACCCTACCCCCAGGGGTCATGATTTGAACAAACTTGAATCTACATTACCTGAGGATGATTCCATATCAAAATGACTAATTGTGGCTTTGATGTTCTTGAGAAGAAGATTTTTAAAGAATTTTCCTATATATTCCTATGTAAAACTTTGATCCCCAATTGTGGCCCCACCCTACCCCCGGGGGTCATGATTTGAACAAACTTAAATCTACACTACCTGAGGATGATTTCATATCAATATGACTAATTGTGGCTTTGTTGTTCTTGAGAAGAAGATTTTTAAAGAATTTTCCTATATATTCCTATGTAAAACTTTGATCCCCCATTGTGGCTCCACCCTACCCCCAGGGGTCATGATTTGAACAAACTTAAATCTACACTACCTGAGGATGATTCCATATCAATATGACTAATTGTGGCTTTGTTGTTCTTGAGAAGAAGATTTTTAAAGAATTTTCCTATATATTCCTATGTAAAACTTTGATCCCCCATTGTGGCCCCACCCTACCCCCGGGGGTCATGATTTGAACAAACTTAAATCTACATTACCTGAGGATGATTCCATATCAAAATGACTAATTGTGGCTTTGTTGTTCTTGAGAAGAAGATTTTTAAAGAATTTTCCTATATATTCCTATGTAAAACTTTGATCCCCTATTGTGGCCCCACCCTACCCCCGGGGGTCATGATTTGAACAAATTTAAATCTACACTACCTGAGGATGATTTCATATCAATATGACTAATTGTGGCTTTGTTGTTCTTGAGAAGAAGATTTTTAAAGAATTTTCCTATATATTCCTATGTAAAACTTTGATCCCCCATTGTGGCTCCACCCTACCCCCAGGGGTCATGATTTGAACAAACTTGAATCTACATTACCTGAGGATGATTCCATATCAAAATGACTAATTGTGGCTTTGTTGTTCTTGAGAAGAAGATTTTTAAAGAATTTTCCTATATATTCCTATGTAAAACTTTGATCCCCTATTGTGGCCCCACCCTACCCCCGGGGGTCATGATTTGAACAAACTTAAATCTACACTACC